AAGCATTGGGGAGATGCATACTCTGTTTATACCTGAATCAGGCAATACTACCTTTTTTGTAAAATGCTATTTCATAATGACTTGCTTGCTTTTCTCATTTCTTAACTTTTCCTGGAACTTCATGACTGTGGGAAACCAGATATGAAAACATTTTTAAACTACTTATTGGGGACCTTTGACCCTTGGTGACTTTGCTTGTAAGATTGTGATAATGCTGAAATAAAACATTTATTGGGACTATAGACTGTATAAAGATGGACGATGTGGGTGCATCCATCTTGCACTATTGATGTCATGTGGAACCTGAGTCTGCCTAGTAGTGATCATGGTGGTACTGATTTCCCACAGACATAGGGGCTCGACTCTTTCTATGGTAACTAACTGAAACACTTGAACAAGCCTCACTGTGATAGCAAAATGACAAACATTTTTGATTTTGGTCCATGTTCCATCCACGGACATAGAGAATGCAGGATTCATGACAGTCTCTATTGATCAAAACCAGGGAACTGCATCCACACTATGTAAAATAGACTTAACTTAAAAATGCTTGTTGACAGATCACAGAGTGAGCCTCACAACAAGGGTAATACACACTAGAGCTATTTTATATTTGTACCAAAGAAGGTTTCACACAAGATAAACTCATACTTGAAAATTTAAATCTCAAGGCTAGATCTGAAATTACACAGGAAATATTTTCATAACCTGATGACGTGGCCTGTTGCCTCATGACGGTTGTCTGCCTCCACCTGTTGACAGTGTGTGAGACATGGGTTTCACTGATGAGAAACATATGACCACACTGAACACTCAAGAGTATCCCAGTTTGATCCTTCCGGAAGTTGCGCATGATATGAAACACATCAGTGGAAAGGGAAAAAAAAGTGGGTTTTCCTTCTTTTGACGGTGAAATGCCTGAGTCGATGTTCGTCAGCCATCTGGTTCATATTTCACGCCCCTCAAGCCCTATGGCCATTAAAATACCAGACCATCCCAGAGAGTAAACACCTCAAATTATCCACTATTGTTTTTCCCTCTGTTGATGACGCATGGGTTTTTATTTGGTTCTACTTTATATACAAATGTATTTGTGAATCAAGGTGTTCCCTCATATTTTACCAATCATTCCAATTTTAAGGCAAATTGAAATCGTCTGGGGCTGTAAAATAGGGAGAGTTTCAGCTATGAATTAGGAAACCACCAAAACATCTTTAGAGGATATACTGAGGTCAGGACCATTGACCGTGACGGACCATGTTGAGGAATAAAGTCCTCAACAAAAAATAAAAATAATGAAACCCATTACTCCTACGATAGGATAGTGAATTATTTTTTCATCTAAATTAGCTTTAGCTCATGTCTATAGTCACATAGGACTCAGAGATGCCACAAAATGCATTTTTGAACTTTACATGACATTACTTTCTGACTTCTTTGTGATATCACAAGATGCATAATCATTTTGAATATATCTTTGTAATTGCAATTTGTTACCCTGTTTGTGGGCGTACAGGGTCCACAGACAAAGGTTCACAGGCTCTAAATATGACAATATCAATGCACTTAGATAAAAGGTTAATTTTTTTTCTTCAAATTGTTCCTGTAGTTCCTTTCCTGTCTGAATACAGATGGTTTTGAGGTGAAGCATCTTCAGAGGAAGACATCTAGATTTGGTGATGTAACCACAGGAAATTTCCAAATACCTCTGAAAAGATCAGGACTTATGAAAATGTTGTTTTGAATCTTGATTGAATGTTTTCTCCAGTCTCACTGTGACATGTTGTTTCAGTCAGACTCGTCCGTAACTCATACATCTCCACATGAGTTCAGTGGCTCTGTTTACATACCGAGCTGATCTTTGAGATATTTCAGTTCCTCTGCCAGATGAAGCTCATTGTAGTGATCCAAGCTCAGATAATGTAAGATAATGAATTGCTCATGTTACGTAACACTGCAACATGCTGTCCTTCTGTTGATTGGCTTGAATACTCATGTCTATATAAAAGTGAATATTTAAGCCATCATATCCATCTGTTATACAATGCAGATGTTAAAAACCAGACATGTACTGTATGTTTCACTTACACATTATAATATATGTAATCTAACTTTTATTTACACTAATTGAATACAATATAAAATGATGCTGTCACCATCAGTCCTAGTTTCAGAAGCCTCTATTCTATAAACAGCACACTTTCACTTCAGGAAATTCTTTGAGGTTGATCTTGATTCAGACACTCTCAGAACACATGTACACATCATAAATTCATTTACAAATTCTATCCAGTTTTGAGTCACACATTTAAACCAAAAGAATATTAAGAAGTAAGTTTGTAGCATGTTTACTGTATGTCTCATTGATAAAGAACAGTTTTGTGAGAGCTTGTCTGTAAGCATTGCGAGAACTGGGAACTAATTAATTTCCAGTGCTCCACCACAAAGATCTGCAGCCACAACAATCCTCTGTTAAGTAAAACCAGATCTAATGAGTCACTGTTAATTTGAAATGGAACTCATAGTCATGATGAGTTGCAACAAAACAGTTACATATTAGTGATGA